AAATTAAAAAACAGGAAAATGAAAAAAATAATCAAAAAACTTGAAAAATTCAGGAAACGAAAACTTGAAAATCGAACAATTAAAAATTGAGAAACCAGAAAATCGAAAAATAAAAAATTGTAAGTATGAAAAAATTGCAAATCGAAAAATTGAAAGTTTGGAAGTTGGGAAATTGAAAAATTGAAAAAATTAAAGTTAAAAAACGAAAAATTATGAAACGGAAACATTGAAAAATGGAAAAAGGAATAATTAAAGAAAAAGATAAAACGAAAAATTGTGATATAAAAAAATTGGCCGAAGGTAAATAAATCTAGATTTTTCGAAAAATTATAAGATTTAATTTTGCTAATTTTATTTGTTAGGGTTACCATAAAAATGTAAAATTCAAAAAAACATTTATATAAACTCGGGAAAATGAAAATTAAAAACCAGGAAAATGAAAAATAAAAATTAGACACTAAAAAATTGAGGAAACAAAAAATAGAAAAATTAAACATTGTAAAAATTGAGAAACTGGAAAACTGGAAAAATTGAAAGTTTGAAAGTTGAGAAATTGTAAAATTCAAAAAATGAATGTTAAAAAACCAAAATTCAATTTTTCGAAAGCTTATAAGATTTGATTTTGCTAATTTTTAAGATCACCATAAGAAACAAAATTAAAACGTCACCTTAGAACTGGTTTGCCGCATATCCAGATCGCGTCCGAGGGATTTTCGCCTCTACTGTTTAGTGCAGATTTGCCGCATGTCGCACTTGGGCGAAGCGAAACATAGTTTAGATTCAGTGCTGATTTGCCGCATGTCCAAGCAGAAATCGATACAGTACCGTTATCCGTTTTTACGTACTTCCTTGCTGTTTTGCTTTTCAGCGTTAGGTTTGGGGTTGGGAAAGAAATCGTATTCAACTTCATGCGCAGAACAATAAGAATAATGTGAAATAAATAAAAAAGAGACTTAACAATTTTGATGAATCTGAAATTAAAAAAAAGCAACTGTAATTTGTGCAATTCTTTTTCTGTTGTTATAGATGTTACAAATATTTTCGATTTTTTTTTTAAGAAAGATTGAGTTTCAAATTATTAGATTCGAAATTTTACAAATTAAAATTTCAAATAGATTTGTTGCTCGTTAAACAAATAATTTAATTTTTTACTTAACAGTAACATTTTTATTTAATGATTTCTCGGAAATGATTGAACTTATTTTCTCTAAAATTTTAGTCAACAAAATTCATAATGCTGCATACCTGTATTCGTATTTGTGGAAATGATATTTCCACATCAATAATTACAGATAATAATAAATACATTTTTCAGAGATAATTAAGATTAAGATTTCTTAATCAACTTCACGCGCAGAACAAGTAATACGGCAAGGACTAATAATGTGAAATAAATGAAAAATTGAAACGATATTAGAAATCGCGTGGTGAAGTAGTTAAAACTAAGTATAACGAACAATGAATGTTAAGTTATTGATGTTTTGATTCGATTTTTTCTAAATATTTTTAAAATAAAGAGACTTATTTTTCTTTATTTTTATATAAAATCTACATTTGATAAAACGCATTGCAGTCATTCATTTTACCTAAAAATTGAAGAATCCAAATATTGCATTGTTAATTTCCATTGTTAAATGGTGAATTGTGAACGAAATACGGAGTACCAAATTTAAATGTGTTTTACAGAAAGGAATTATTTTTACAAAGGATAATAAAATGATATTTTCTTTGCATTGGTGGAGTAATGGCGCGGCGGCTCGTTGACTCGCTGCAGTCCTACTAAAATTGCAGCTTAATATGTAATTTTTTTATATAAAAAAAACTGATAAAGAACACTCGGGTAAAAATAGGTTGTTGTCTCAAACAATTAGATTCCAGTATTTTATTACATTACGTGGATATTGACTACAAGTAGCTATTGTCGGGCAACCAGAGAAAATTAGCAGTGCTACTGTTTAAAACTGTAAATGCAGTATATTTGGATTTGGAAATAAATCATTCGTTTCCATGTCTTATGTATCAAAGACAATTATGTTGACTGCAACCCAAATCTATTTGATTACCCCTAACTCCATAATATCTAGTACTTAATATAGTTATACGCTTTTCAGTTGAAAATGAAAGAATTATTTGTACTGATAGTTGTAAACAATTGTATAAATATTTCCGTTGGATTCCTTTGCGAACTCTTTGTCAATTATTATTTATGATACTATGGTATGATCCCAAACTGTTTAGAGAAGAAAGGGAGACTGTGGTGTGCGCACGTAAACTTGTCCTATTTCTTTCCAATACATTAGCTCTATATATTAGCTCTCTGTCTATCATCTCCTACGTGCACTTATCATAGACTCCTTTTTTCTAAAAAGTATGCAGTATTTCCCGCGCAAACCAGCAGTCAGATCTCTAGATTGCCTGGCCTCGTGATTTGTCACGTATTTTTAAATAACATACAGTTTTCTAAATTTGCTGAAGTACTACTAAACTACAAAAATAAATATACGGGTAAATTAAATTCTCAAATTATAACTCCGAATTAAACATGCAATGTGAAAAGTTAATGCCGTGAACCCTACTAAGTATAAATTAAACGTCATTGTTTGCTAACTACATAATTGATTAAACTTATTATTTTAATAAGGTAAGATATTAAACTAGACAGAGACTTGAATACTTTTTTTTACTAATTTTAATAATTCTTGTAAATGAATAGATATTTAATAATAAAGCAATACATATTATTATACGCAAAAAATGTATTTGCATGCTTTTGCATAAAGTTCCTGCACTTATAATTTATGAACAGTATTTTGGACGATGCCCAATTAATTGATAAATAATAGTATGTTGATGTAAAAAGAGTATCATTACATTACTTCAAATTCTTTTAACTTTCTTTATGTAGTATATCCTGTTTCCAAAATCTCAAGAAATTAGGGTTATGGTAATTCAATTCAATCTGGGTGCTTAGGGTAAAAACTCAATAAACAACAAATTAAAAAGTATGTTATTTTTTAAAATTTATATAACATTTATTGCTGTAAAAGTTGGAGATGACGTTATATGATGGGGAGGATGATTACAAATGTTGGTCAGCGTTTTATCAACCGGAAACGAGAGACCTATGTTTTCGTATTATAGGAGTCATGAAACGTTGAGAAGCCATAAAAGTAGCCAGTCGCCCGATGAACCTGATTACAATACTTCCTTAGCTTGCGCTCGAGACATAAAAAAAAATAAACAATAACATTTGGATTTAATAGCTTTTGATATCTGGTATACCTAAACAGTGAGTGAATTTTATGCGGCTATTATTACCATTACATATAACCATCCACTTAAATTAATTGGTAAAAAAATTTACCCATAAATAAGTTATTGTAAATTTATTTTTATTTACACGCGTATAATTGCACAACAATAATTGTTAGACAAATAGAATGATAAAGAAAGGCAATGTCATATTAAAAAACAAATGACTCGTTTCGATGTAAGGTATCTTATATAAGTTAACAACATACATCTATTTAGTTATTATAGGTAAAATTCTAATACGGAATTTGTTCTTGAAGTAAGTCGTACATTGTAAATAGCTATAAATTCGGAAATAATTCTTTTTCAAAGATACAAGTCAAAAATGTATTAGGCATGATTGTCAAGAAACATTCCAATTCTGTTTCAAATTTGCAAGCATTTTATGTCAAAAGCTGATTTTTGTAAACGTTCCAGTAATAAATTTCGAAGCAAAATCCACCTAAACAGATTTTGCTTCGAAATTTTAATTTTCATATTACTTTTACAACATTTTAATTTAAAAAATTAAAAATGTATCTATTATTTGTGATTATTGATGTAGAAATATCGTTTCTACAAATAAGAATACTACAAAAAATTGTGAACTCTTTTACTGGTATCCAGCGTTATAAATCTTGTTCACTAAAACTTTAGAGAAAATAAGTTCAATCATTCCCGAGAAAAAATTAAATTATTTGTTTATCGAACAACAAATCTATTTGAAAATTAAATTTGTAAAATTTCGAATATAATAATTTGAAAATATTTGTAACATCTATAACAACAGAAAAAGAGTTGCACAAATTACAGTTGCTTTTTTTTAATTTCAGATTCATCAAAATTGTTAAGTCTCTTTTTTATTTATTTCACATTATTCTTACTGTTCTGCGCGTGAAGTTGAATACGATTTCTTTCCCAACCCCAAACCTAACGCTGAAAAGCAAAACAGCAAGGAAGTACGTAAAAACGGATAACGGTACTGTATCGATTTCTGCTTGGACATGCGGCAAATCAGCACTGAATCTAAACTATGTTTCGCTTCGCCCAAGTGCGACATGCGGCAAATCTGCACTAAACAGTAGAGGCGAAAATCCCTCGGACGCGATCTGGATATGCGGCAAACCAGTTCTAAGGTGACGAAAAGATACATTGAAGAAATAAAAGAAATGAAAAAACCTAAAATTGTTATATAAAATCTGGAAAATAAAATTTTAAAAACCAGGAAAATGAAAAATAAAAATAAGAGACTTATAAAATTGAGGAAACGAAAAATTGTAAACTTAAAAAAGTGTGTTTCTCCATTACAAAATTTTGTGATGACGTCATCAACATTTTTGCAAGGACAGGTATATGAATTTGGATAGATGCATTGTGACACTAATAACAACAGTACTGTATTCCCAAATTTTCGTTGAAATAGAGTGAGTCATTCTTGATTTAATTAATAAAATAAGTTGCCCCATTCATGATTTTTTTAGTCACTCTGTATAAGTAATTCTAAAAACTGAGTGTATTGATACAAATATAGAGTCATAATGTTTTGCAAATTTAAGAGAGGATTCATTATAGATGACGTCACCAATGTTTGGGAGGGGATAAACGAATCAATTTTTAATGAACCGAAACTATAACAGAACCATCGTAACTGTACGATTCAAATGAGATTTATTAATATAATTTCAGTAACAAGAAAGCCTACAACCTACTCATTTAAGTCTTCTCCTCCAATCATAGCCAACAAGTCATCCCTCAACGATCCATCCTCCTTATCACCCACCACCATATCCTTCATCATTTCCTGCACCTGATTATCGTCAGTATTGACATCAATACTATCAAACCCCTTTTTCGTTTCTTCTTCATTATTGTTACCATTCTGGTCATTAATCGCCAACCTCAACATTTTCCTATTATCATTCCCCGACCCCATCTTCCTCTCCCCCAAAATCTGGTCAACAAACAACTTCAACTCGTTCACTTCCGGTTCAGACCGATTCTGATTTTTCTCCAAAATCCGCCCATTCTGCGTAACCGAGTAAATATTCTCCCCCAGGTTCTTCAACATCTTCGCCGCCAGCGGGTCGAGATTCTCCGTGATGAAGATCCCCTCCATGTTCTGCAGACCCATTCTGAGTAAAAGCGAAACCCTCACGTTGCTGTCTTTCAGCCAGTACAGAATGTCGTCTCTGAGTTCTTTCTTCTCTTTGTTTGACAGGATCTTGTTGAAGTTGTCCACGAGGTTCTGGACTTTGTGTAGTTGCAGTTGAGTTTCCGGGTTGGTTACGTAGTTCTCGATTTCGTAGAGGTGGCGGAGGGTGATTGCGATTACGTCTTCGGAAACCGTTACTTGCCATTTGAATACCATGGTTATGAGGTCCCAGAGTTTGTTCATGCTGGTGGGGTCTAGGCGCATCATTGAGGATTGGGTGACGTCTTCGATGATGTCACGGACGGCTTCATGACTGTAGGTTGCCTGGGGCTTCATCAGTTCGGTCATGAGCTGCTTTGATATGAGGACGGAGATGATTTCATCAAGAACTGGAACAGAACATAAAATCGAAAATAACGACGAAAAGATCAGGTGTAAACTATTTATATAAATCTAGAGTTAGGGTTACTACATTTATCAGACAATAAAACTAGACGTTACAATGTTCTTAAATTAGATAAAGGAATGGTAATATAATTTCAGAGTGAAGTTATAAAATTTCAAACTGTTGTTCTTTATTGTTATAAACTATAAAGTTAAATCTTGCATCGGGCAATAAAGCATTGTTATCCTATTACATCAACATAAAGTTTTTATATTTTGAAAAGTGTGACAGACTGCTCCACTTTTGCTGAATCGTAGAAACAGTTTCAGAATTTTAAATATCTATGTTAAAATTATGCCTTTTGTTTGTAATTATATGGATATGTGATAAACGCTAAGTTTGATGACTTCTTGGAACAATATGCCAAGATGGCTTAATTTCTTCTTGACATTATATGGATTTTAACTGTTTTTAATATAATTTTCACTTTTAATTGTTACAAACTCAAAGGGGGATAACTACAAAATAAATTTATCTAGAAACATCCTAATCAGGTTTGTTCAAAAGCTAAAATAATTATCCCTTACATTAGAACATTTTTTAAAAAATAACACAAAATTTGCAGTTATTAAGCTCTGAATAAATTTCAGACAATATTCAAACCGTTTTAGTTGTGTTTTTTTTAGAGATTTCAGGGTATAAAAAGAAAATCATTTCTAAATCATTTTTTTTTTAAATCTTGACATTTTATCTTTTTCCAATTTTTTGAGGATTTTTAATCAACTTTTCGATACCTCCGTATTAATTTTTGACCATTTTTCGAGTTTTCGAGATACTAAAAAATACATATTTTCAAATTTTTCGAGAATCTTGATATGGAGCTATATGAACATTTTATAAATCACTTACAAACCGAATATTTCGAAAATGTTGTTCCGGGATTATTAACACTTTATGTTTTCCGAATTAGTTCCTCGACAACTGCATCCCTGAATTTTTTGAGGATTTTTAGACAACTTTTCAAAAATACTCTAATTTTCTAATATTTACCTCTCTCCTGTTATGGATTTTTTACATCTTTTGGAGATTTCGAGATATTAAAAAAACATTTTCAAATTGAATTGAAAATTAATGACAAAATCTTGGTACGTTTCGAAATTTCTAGATATTTAAGAAATTTTACTTTTCAAATCGAATTTTTCGAAAATTTTGGTTCGGAGTATCTGTTTCGAATCAACTCGAATTTTTGGGCAACTTTTCAAAAAAAAACAATTTTCTAATTTTCTCTCCCGTTAAAGAATTTCTATTGTTTAGAGATTTCGGGTTATGTATTAAAAAAACATTTTTAAATTGGATTTTTCGAAAATCTTGGTCCGTTTTGAACGTTTTTCGAAATTTTTAGATATTTAACAAACTTTACTTTTCTAATCAAATTTTTCGAAAATCTTGGTTGAAGCTACTTGTCTTTTTTGAACCAACTCGTCGAGATCTATATCCCAGATTTTTTTGGGCATTTTTAGACAACGATTCAAATTTTTTTCACCTACACCCTATGATTTTTTGACCGTTTTTTGAAATTTCAAGATATTTAAAAAATCTTAGTCCGGGAGCATTAATGTTTTTTAAATGAACTCGTCGAAATTTGTAGTTCTAAATTTTTTGAGTTTTTTTAGGCAACTTTTCAAAAATATCAATTTTCCAGTTCTTCGAGATTTCGAGATATTAAAAAAAAATTCAAGTCAAATTTTTCGACAATCTTGGTCCGGGACCAATAACACTTGATCTTTTTCGAATCAATTCGTCAAGATGTATATCCCAGAATTCTTTCAGGATTTTTAAGCAATTTTTCAAAAATGTAAATTTTTTGATATCCCCGTATGAATATTTTAACCCTTTTTCGCGCTTTCGAGATATCAAAAAAATGTTTTCGACCCCAATTTTTTTTTTAATCTTCGTCCGACCTATTAACACTTTGTTTTCCGAATTAGCTCGTCAAGATCTGCATCCCTGAATTTTTTGAGAATTTTTAGCAACTTTTCAAAAAAACTCAATTTTATAATTCTCTCTCCCGTTATGGATTTTATATTATTTTTGGAGATTTCAGGATATTAAAAAAAGTTTCAATTTAATTTTTCGAAAATCTTGGTCCGTTTTTGAACGTTTTTCGAAATTTTTAGATATTTAACAAATTTTACTTTTCAAATCGAATTTTTTGAACATCTTGGTTGGAGCTATTTATCTTTTTTGAACCAACTCGTCGAGATCTATATCCCAGATTTTTTGGGGCATTTTTAGACAACGATTTAATGTTTTTCCAAATACCCCCTACGATTTTTTTACCGTTTTTTGAAATTTCAAGATATTTAAAAAATCATAGTCTGGGAGCATTAATGTTTTTTAAATGAACTCGTCGAAATTTGTAGTTCTAAATTTTTTGAGTTTTTTTAGACAACTTTTCAAAAATATCAATTTTCCAGTTCTTCGAGATTTCGAGATATTTAAAAAAAATTCAAGTCAAATTTTTCGACAATCTTGGTCCGGGACCAATAACACTTGATCTTTTTCGAATTAATTCGTCAAGATGTATATCCCAGAATTCTTTCAGGATTTTTAAGCAATTTTTCAAAAATGTAAATTTTTTGATATCCCCGTATGAATGTTTTAACCCTTTTTCGCGCTTTCGAGATATCAAAAAAATGTTTTCGACCCCAATTTTTTTTTTAATCTTCGTCTGACCAATTAACACTTTGTTGTCCGAATTAGCTCGTCGAGATCTGCATCCCTGAATTTTTTGAGAATTTTTAGCAACTTTTCAAAAAAAGTCAATTTACTAATTCTCTCTCGTTATGAATATTTTACTGTTTTTGGAGATTCAGGATTATTAAAAAAAACATTTTTAAATTAAATTTTTCGAAAATCTTGGTTCATTTTTGAACGTTTTTCGAAATTTCTAGATATTTAACTAATTTTACTTTTCTAATCAAATTTTTCGAAAATCTTGGTTCGGAGCTATTTATCTTTTTGAGATCAACACGTCGAGATCTATATCCTAGAATTTTTTGGGCATTTTCAGGCAACTTTTCAAAATTGTTTTCATCCACCCCTATGATTTTTGACCGTTTTTTGAAATTTCAAGATATTTAAAAAATTGTAATTTAAACCGATTTTACGAAAATCTTGGTCGGGGAGCATTAAGGTGTTTTTTAAATGAACTCGTAGAAATCTATGTAGTTCTAAATATTTTGAGGATTTTTAGACAACTTTTCAAAGATATCAATTTTTCGATACTCCAGCAATTAATTTTTTACGTTTTTCAAGCTTTCGGGGTCTTAAAAAATACATAAATATTTTGAAAATCTTGGGATCATTAAGTTTTATCATTTTCGAAGTAGCTCGTGGAGTTCTATATCCATGAATTTTTTAGACAACGTTTCAAAATTCTCAATTTTCCAGTTTTTCGAAATTTCGATTTATTAAAAAAAAAACATTTTCAAATTGAGTTTTTCGAAAATCTTGGTTCGTTTTTGAACGTTTTTCCAAATTTGTAGATATATATTTAATAACTTTTACTTTTCAAATCGAATTTTTTCAAAATTTTAATTTGCAGCTGTTTATCTTACTTTATCTTTTTTGAATCAGCTCGTCGAGATTTATATACTAGAATTGTTTTAACATTTTTAGGCGACTTTCCAAAAATATTATTTTTTCACCCATGCCTTGTTGACGGTTTTTTGAAATTTTAAAATATTTAAAAATCCTACTTTTAAACCGAATTTTTCGAAGAACCATCAAAATGTTTTTTAAATGAACTCGTTGATATTCATATTTATGCATTTTTTACGGATTTTTGGGCAACTTTTCAAAAATTTTTTCGACGTTTTCAAACCGAGTTTTTCGGAAATCTTGCTTTGGAGCTTTACGTTTTAGACAACCCCTATGATTATTTGACCGATTTTCGAAATTTCAAGATATTTAGAAATAAATATTTTCAAACCGACTTTTTTTTTATTTTGTTTCGGGATACATTTCGAGATTTACGTCCCAATAATTGTTACAGATTTTTAGGCAAATACTTCAATTTTTCGTTCCCCCTCAATGTATGAGTTTTTTGACAGTTTCCAGATTTCAAGACGAAAAATATCTTTCAAATGTCAAAACAAATTGTTTGAAAATCTTGTTCCGTCTTTAAACGTTTTTCGAAATTTCTAGATATTTAAAAAAAATCTTTTAACCGAAATTTTGAAAACCATGATCCGAAGCTATTTATCTTTTTTTGAGTTAATTCGCGAGATCTATATTGCAGAATTTTTTGGTCATTTTTGGGTAAATATTTAAAAAACGCTCCTTTCAAACCGATTTTTTAGAAAATCTTGGTCCGGCAGCACTAATATGTTTTTTGAAATGAACTCGTCAGAATATATGTCTAAATTGTTTAAGGACTTTTAAGCAACTTTTTAACAAAAAACTCATTTTTCTAATGTTTACCGGGAAGAGAGATCCCCATATGGATTTTTACCGATTTTGAAGATTTCGGGGTATTAAAAAAACATTTTCAAACCGAAAAATCTTGGCCCGTTTTGACCGTTTTTCGAAAATCTTGGTTCGGAGATAAGTATTTATCTTTTTTGAATCAACTCGTCGAGATCTGTGTCCCAGATATTTTTTGGCATTTTTAGGCAACTTTTAAACACAATTTTTTCACCCATCCCTTAATGATTTTTTGACCGTTTTTGAAATTTCAAGATATTTAAAAAATCCCACTTTCAAACCGATTTTTTCGAAGATCTTGGTCGGGAGGCACTAATGTTTTTTAAACGAACTCGTCGAAATCTATATATTTCTAAATTTTTAGGCAACTTTTCAAAAATACCGATTTTTCAATACTCCCGCATTATTTTTTTACCGTTTTTTTAATCTTCGGGGTATTTTCAAATTTTAAATCGAATTTTTCAAAAATCGAGTGTCGGGGATTTTAACACTTTTTTATCGCTTTTGTAGGTTTCAAGTTACTTTACGCAAATTTTTTCAACCCGAATCTTTTCAAAAATGTTTGAGGTTTTTAGGCAACTTTTCAAAATTCTCAATTTTCCAGTTCTTCGAGATTTCGAGATATTTAAAAAAATCAAGTCGAATTTTTCGAAAATCTTGGTCCGGTACCATTAACACTTCATCGTTTTTGAATTATTTAGTCAAGATGCATATCCTAGAATTGTTTGAGGATTTTTAAGCAACTTTTCAAAAATGTTGATTAAATCTTCGCCCGGAATTTTTTGAGAATTTTAGGCAACTTTTCAAAGAACTCAATTTTCTAATACCTCTCTCCCCTTATCGATAATTTACTGTTTTTGGAGATTTCTAGTTATAAAAAAAAAATAAATTCAAATTACATTTTTTGAAAATCTTGGTTCATTTTTGGAAGTTTCCAGAAATGTCTAGATTTTTAACACATTTTCGAATCAGCTCGTGGAAGTTTTTTTTAAGACTATTAGACAACTTTTCGAAATATTCAACTTTTCGAAGAAGAAGATTCGCTGTATCCCTGGATTTTTTGGTAACTTTTTCAAAAAAATCAGTTTGCTAAGACTCTTCTCCCTTTATGGATTTTTTACCGTTTTTGGAGATTTCGAGGGGTTAAAAACGAACATTTCCAACTTGAATTTTTCGAAAATCATGATCCGTTTTTGAACGTTTTTCGAAATGTATAGATATTTAACAAATTTTATTTTGCAAATCGAATTTTTAAAAAATCTAGGCCGTTTTTCGAAATTTTTAGATATTTAACAATTACTTTTCAAATCTAATTTTTCGAAAATCTGGATGCGGTGCTATATAAACAATTTGTAAATCACGTTCAAACCGAATATTTTGGAACTCTAAGGGCCGGTTTATAGAACAGCGAGTTAAATATTTAATCCTCGATTAGGTTAACAGAGAATTAAAATATGGAATATGAGCCCGTGATTGGTTAAAATATGCGCGTTGCTTCGCAACGGACCTCAGTTAAAAGTTAATCGCGAATTAACTTTAACTTCGCTTTCTATAAATCGGGTCTTAGTCCGGGAGCGTTAACTTTTATTATTCATCAGCTCGCTGAGTTCTACATCCATGAATCTTTTGAGGGCCTTAGAAAATGTTTCAAAATTCCAGTATTCAAATCATGTTCAAATCCAATTTTTCGAAATTCTTGGTTCATTTTTGACTGTTTTTCGAAATTTCTATATATTTAAAAATCATAACTTTCAAACACCTCAATTTTTCTCTCCTCCCCCATGATTCTTTACCGTTTTTTGAAAATCTCGGGATATTTAAAAAATCTTACGTTCAAATCGAATGTTTTCAAATATCTTGGAGACCATTTTTATGTTTTTTGAATTGACTCGTCAAGATCCATACATCCCTGAATTTTTTGGGGAATTGTATGCAACTGTTTAAAAATATCAATTTTTTGTTACCCCTGTATCAATTTTTGAGCGCTTTTCGACCTTTAGAACTGTTAAAAAATACACCTTTTTAAATTTTAAGCGGAATTTTTCGAAAACTTTGTCCCGGAGCTAGTAACACTTTGTGTTGTAGGCAACTTTTCATCACCCCCTCGTATGATTTTTTTATTGTTTTTCTAAGTTTCAAGTTATAAAAAAAAATCAAACAATCTTTTCCGAAATTTTTAGATATCTAACAAATTTTACGTTTCAAATCGAATTTTTCGGAAATCTTGGTCCGTTTTGGCCCGTTTTTCGAAATTGTTAGATATTTGACCAATTTTATTTTTAAATCGAGATTTATATCCCAGAATTTTTTGAATATTTTTAGGCAACTTTTCAAAAATATTATTTTTTCACCTATCCCCTATGATTTTTTGGCCGTTTTTCGCAATTACAACACGTTTAAAAAATCCCACTTTCAAACCGATTTTTTCGAAAGTCTGGTCCGGGACCATTAAGATGTTTTCTAAATGATCTCGTTCAGATCTATATAACCCTAAATTTTTTCAAAAATCTCAATTTTTCGATACCACGGACATTTTTGTCCGTTTTTCGAGCTTCCGAGATACTAAAAAAAAGAATCAAATGTTCAAACCGAATTTTTCGAAAATCTTGGTCCGGAGCTATTAACACTTGATGTTTTATACAACCCGTATGATTTTTTGGCCGTTTTTCGAAATGTCAAGATATTTAGAAACATTTTTTTCAAATCAAACTTTTTGAAAACCTAAAACACTTTTTCCGTTTTTCGAAATTTTTAGAAATTTACAAATCGAATTTTTCAAAATTTTGGAAACCATTTTCATGTTTTTTGAATTAACTCGTTGTGATCCATGCATCCTTGAATTTTTTGGAGATTTTTATGCAATTTTTAAAAATCTCAATGCACGAGTTTTTGTTTGACAATTTTTTCAGATTTCGAGATAACAAAAAAATATACATATTTTTTTTAACTTTAAATCGAATTTTTCGAAAATCTTAGTCCGTCTTTAAGCGTTTTTCGAATAAAAAAAAACAAACTTTTAAACCGAAACTATTTATCTCACTTAATCTTTTTCGAATCCGCTCGTTGAGCTCTGTATTCCAGAATTTTTGGAAGATTTTTAAGTAACCTTTTAAAAATCGCAAATTTTCATTTCTTCCCACTATGATTTTTGACCGTTTTTCGAAATGTAGAAGTAATAAAAAAAGAACATACTTTCAAACCAAATTTTTCGAAAATTTGGGTAAAGAGTTATTAATACTTTATATTTTCCAAATTAGCCCGTCTTTGAATTTTTTTGAAGATATGAAGTCAACTTTTCAAAAACTTTAATTCTCCTCCCCTTATGATTTTTTTCACCAATTTTCGAGATTTTGAGATAAAAAAAAACTTCTTCGAAATTTCCAAATATTCAAAAAACCGAATTTTCAAATCAAATTTTTTGAAAATCTTGATCTGGTACCATGGTTATGTTCTTTGAATGATTGAATGAAGCCATTAGGTTGTTGCGATACTTTAAACATTTTTGAAAATCTTGGTCCAGAACCTTTATGATTTTCGATCAAAAACCTTAATTTCCAAGCCGAATTTTTCGAAAATCTTGGTCCGGGACCATTAACAGTTTGTTTTACGAATCAGCTGTCTCAGAATTTTTGAGTAGAGAACTTTTAACTTATTTGATCTTCAAACTCCAAAAGAATATAGATAGAATACGAACGACGTTTAAAGTTCCGTATTATCTCACTATTGTCTCAGTGTTATAAAAGACAAACCTGATTTCTTTCATAGATATAATACCGCATGAACGAAAAAAGTCATCTTGCAAGCTTTGAAATTAAACGTTAAAAAATATATGTTGGCAACACCCACGAGTTCTTTGTTTGGTTTGATATTTACAACAAATAACTGTCAAATAAAGTGTTAAATAGTTGAAATATTTTGAAAATAAATTTCGTTGCTAACCAGAGGACTTTTTTTTTGGTGAAATGGATTAGATGCATTGATTTTGAAGCCAAATTTTAGGTTGGCAATGCTGCAAGAACTTGACAAATTTCTGTGTTGACAAATATGACAATTTTGGCGTAAAATAGACATGTACCAACTTACAAAAAGGCACTAGACACTGAGTAAAAATTACTAAAATTATATACTTGTCAAAAGCACAAAATACATACATTAGTTGTTATTATGAGTCAGTATATAGAATGTTTCCCTGTTTCAAGAGTTATCGATGTAAATAGCCAGTCAGTAAATAAATTTGCAACATAGCGCGTAATAATAATAATACTAACAACACAATTCTACGTAAGTACTTGGAACCGACAATAAGTATGTTTACTTTCTACGATAAAGATATGGTGATAAAATTGTCGAAATGTTTAGCTACTTTTAGTATCTCCAATAATTTAGTAGCAGGAAATTTTCCAGAAAAAAAATTTCGTGCGACAGTTTCCTGCAATTTTTCAAACCTATTTTGTGCAAAAACTCCCATCTTCAACCCTGCGGCGCAATTTTCATCGCCCGTCCTTCTAGAAAAGCCCGTTTTGATGTCAACTCCGCGAATGCGTCAGTGCTGCAGGTGTGGGCGATCAATTGTGAATAATTGAGCGCAATTGAACGTAGTGCAACCCACTCGCTAATGTTTCGATTGAAAATGTGTAGAATAAGCAATTTGGGGTTTGTTTCGGTTGGCAAGCGCTGTCGTGCATAATGCAGTGCATTGAAAGCGGTTTTTTCACCTAAATTCGTTCGATCGAGAGGCACGTTTTGAGCTTGTAGTCTTTGAGCAACAACAAACACCATTTCTGAGCCAAGATTGAGAACAACGAACGGTGTAACATAGTGAGACATTTTGCCGACAACTGAGGCGGCAATCGATAACACCGTATGAAAATGTCCATTGATAGGAAAAATTCTATTGTACATACACTTAGGGGCCGCGCTGGCGCCATCTCGCGGCCTGGTTGCGCCCAGTTGAGATTTCCTGTAAAATTCGATTAGCGAATAAACGTTTGTGCAACCAGTGCTCAGATGCTGTGCGAGCTTATGTAAATGGTTTTTTTCTTTTATTAGGCGTTAGCCGAGGTGAAGAGTTATTCGAGCGCGCTTTGAAAAATATCTACTTATAAATGAATGCGGACGTGAATAAGTAACTATCTGTCGTAGAAAAAAATATGAATTTTGAAAATATAGGTTAATTAAGATATTGTTCTTCAATAACTACTAAAGGTCAAAGGTGCTGCTATGTCCAGGAAGAATATATCTGGGACGAAATTGTACAACCCGTAGGATGTAGATGAAAAATATAATTGGCTATTTTTGTGTTGGCGAAATTGTACACTGTATTAGGGTCTAAATGAGCATACTGTAATTTTAAATTTTTCAAAAGACAACAAGCGTGTTTGCAAGCGCTCGTTAAACCTCGTGGAATAACTATACATTAACTAAAGGTGTTGCTTACCACAGCTGTCACAGTATTGAAAGTTAACAGTGCTTTCAGTAGTATTTGATTTTTAGTTTCACAGTTCATCTAGACAATTAGTCTTCAAAATTTGGGTAAGACATTAATGTTAATTTAGGAATTATATGTAGAATAAATTAAATAAAATATACTTATCTTTCGTTCCATTCACACGTTTGATGATGTCACCTGGAAGTAGATGTTGCATTTTCGTTCTCGTTATTAAGTATTTTTTATACTTAAAGTTAATTTTTTTTTCGATTTTTCACTTTTTTAAGAGAAACACCGACATATTGAAAGAATGAGAACCAAAAAATAGAGTAAGATGCAGTAATGAAATACAAGTATTCCATTTGATAAAACTCGAATATCGATATTTGAAAATTGTAATGTTTTAGGTTTTTTATAAACACTCGGTATATTAAAATTTAATTTACAGAAGACTCTTAAATAATTTTAGTTTTTAGGACTCAAAGAACCATATAAGTTTGGTCTTTAACGTTTTTTGTGTTTTTATTATGTAGTGACTCACTCTGTATATCAAAATCAGTTTAAACAGTATGTCTTTTTTTTGACTTAAAACAAGTATTTCATCTAAAAAAACTTTGGAATAATGCATTTTTTTAAATAAATCATTTTTTTATCCAGATGACAATTAGAAAAAAGTTGTTGTTGCAATGCAATTTGACCGAAAAAACTTCTCTAGTAGACCGTGGAATTTAGTTTTAAAATAAATATGTTGGCATTTTTATTTGACAGTTGTTTCACTGAAATTGTCAAAATGAATAATGAACGCGTTAGTGTTGCCAACATAATTGTTTAGAAGATTTTTTTTATATCGAATAATACTTCCGTAGTTTTCTCGATGTGTTATGACCCCTAAAACGTTACGTAAAAATTTCAGAGTTAATTGTCTAAACAATTGGACTTGTTTAATGAATAATTATCCTCTAGAGATGAGGAAAGTTCCGCCGAAATAATTTTTATTGTTTATACAGAGTGTTTTCCAAATTGAGTCGTAAAGCGAATTATTGTATCATATAAATATGTAGTTTCAAAACAGTTTCCTCAAATACTGGGGAACAATAATTTTTTAGATTGTATATGTTATGAAAAAATTACAGAAAATTGCGAACATTTTTCCTGTGTTTTTGTGCCAAAGGATTTATGATGTATATGTATATTTGTCCAAAATAAAAAAAAATGGTCTAAGGTTATTTAGAAAGAAATTTTTTTTTTTTGTAAGTCCTATGAGTTAAAATAGTTAAAATAAACAAAATGGAGGTTGACTCATAAACTACAAATATCGAAGTATATTGTTTTATAAAATTTAAATATCCTTTATTTCCCAAAATGTTGAACTGACGTTACAAAATTATTGCTGGGGATAATTAGGCATATTTTTACCACCTACATGGTATTTCTAATATTTACAAAATTTGACCACAATCGGTTCAGTAGTATTGGAGATTACCTGTCTAATAAAAATAAACAACAGGCAATTTAATTTTCGATTTTCCTATTTTAAATTTATAAATTTTTCAATTTTAAATTTTCAGATTTTGTTTTTGCAATATATTTTTTTCTATTTAAAATTCTGCAAAAATTCTTCGGTTTTTCGAATTTTCAAATTTTTCTTTCATCACTTTCGTTTGCAATTTTTGGAGTTTTCAGCTTGGAACTTTCCATTTTTCGATTTTTCAATTTCTTAAATTTTCGATTTACCAATTTTTGGATTTTTCAATTTTTCGAACTTCAAATTAAAGTTTTGCACTTCTTCAATATTTGAATTTTGAATTTTTTTTTCTTTACTTTTCGATTTACAATTTTACGAATTTTTAACTCTGAATTTTTTATTTTTAGATTTTTGGTTTGTACTTTTTCGAATTTTCTATTTTATATTTTTCAAGTTGAGATCTTTGGAATTTTTCACATTTTTCGATTTTGCGATTTTTTGAGTTTTCATCTTTCAGACACGATTTTTAATTTTTGATTAGATTTTGAAATTTTTTAGTTTTCAGTATTTCGATTTTATGACTGTTTACAATTTTGCGATTTTTTAATATTCTATTTTTGAATGCCCTGATTATTCAGACTTGAAAATTTTTAAATTAACATCATCCGATTTTTCGGTTTTTTGTTTTTCAATTTATCAATTTTAAATTTTTATATTTTGCAATTAATAAATTAGTTAATTCTTCAATTTTCAAATTTTCGATTTTTCAGTTTTTAAGTATTTTTTTTTAATTTCTGGATTTTACATTTTTCTACGTTTCCATTGTATAAATGTTTCAATATTACAGTTTTTGATTCTTCAATTTTTTTAATTTTTCAACTTTTGAATTTTGCATGTCTCAATTTTTTTATTTTGGTGGTGGGGATGACTACACAATTTTTTTACCACCTACATGGTATTCCTAATATACATATGTACAAAATTTGACAACAATCGGTTCAGTAGTTTTGGAGGTTATCTGTCCAATAAAAATTTTCAGTTTCTGTTTTTGCAACATGTGTAGTTTTCAATTTAAAATTTTGCAATTCTTCAATATTTCGAATTTTCGATTTTTTTTTTCTTTCTTCTCTTTTCGATTTATAATTTTACGAGCTTTTAACTCCTAATTTTTCACTTTCTTCGACTTTGCCATTTTTTGAGTTTTCGCCTTTCAGATACTAATTGAAATTTTCGAATTTTCAATTTTTCGTTTTTCCAGTTTTACCATTTTTCCAGGTTTTGATCAGATTTTGTCTTTTCAATATTGGGATTTTTTAATACGCTATTTTTGAATGTCCCGATTTTTCAGGCTTGAAAATTTTTGAATTGACATCAACCGATTTTTCGGTTTTTTTGTTTTTCAATTAATCAATTTTAAATTTTTATATTTTGCAATTAATAAATTAGTTAATTGTTCAATTTTCAAATTTTCGATTTTTCAATTTATGAATTAAAAATAAAGTTTTTAATTCTGGATTTTTATTTTTTCTATGTTTCCATTGTACAAATGTTTCAATTTAACAGTTTTTGTTTCTTCAATTCTTTGAATTTTTTAACTTTTAAATTTTGTATTTCCCAATTTGTTAATTATTGGTAGGGATGACTAGACAAATTTTTTACCATCTACATGGTATTTCTAATATACATATGATACAAAATTTGACAACAATCACTCTAGTAGTTTTGGAGATTACCTGTCTAATAAAAATTTTCAGTTTTTGTTTTTGCAATATTTCCAATTTCCAATTTTCAATTGAAAATTCTGCAATTCTTCAATATTTCGATTTTTCAATTTTTTTATTCTTTGCTTCTGTTTGCAATTTTTCAAATTTGAATTTTTCCATTTTGTGATTCTACAATTTCTTAAATTTTCCATTTTCCCAATTTTTAGATTTTTCAATTTTTCGATCTTCAATTCAAAATTTTGCAATTCTTCACTTTTCGATTTACAATTTTAGGAGTTTTTAACTCTGAATTTTTCAATTTTTCGATTTTTCAATTTTTTGTTTCTTAGATTTTGCGGTTTGTAATTTCTTGAATTTTCTATTTTATATTGGACTATTCGAAATTTTCGATTTTTCGCTTCTCATAAACTACAAGGATCGAAGTATATTGTTTTATAAAATTTAAATGACCTTTACTTCCCAGAATGTTGAACTGACGTCACAAAATTATTGCTGGGGATAATTAGGCAAATTTTTTACCTTCTACATGGTATTCCTAATATATACAAAATTTGGCCACCATCGGTCCAGTAGTTTTAGAGATTACTTGTCTAATAAAAATAAACAACAGGCAATTTAATTTTCGATTTTCCTATTTTAAATTTGTCAATTTTAGAATTTTAAATTTTCAGATTTTGTTTTTGCAATATATTTTTTTTCAATTAAAAATTCTGCAAAAATTCTTCGATATTTCGAATTTTCAAATTTTTCTTTCTTCACTTTCGTTTTCAATTTTTGGAGTTTTCAGCTTGAAATTTTCCATTTTTCGATTTTTCAATTTCTTAAATTTTCGATTTTCCAGTTTTTGGATTTTTAAATTTTTTTAATTTCAATTTAAAGTTTTGCACTTCTTCAATATTTGAATTTTGTATTTTTTTCTTTCTTCACTTTTCGGTTTACAATTTTGCGAATTTTTAACTCTGAATTTTTCAATTTTTCGATTTCTGGTTTGTAATTTGTCGAATTTTCTATTTTATATTTTCAGGTGGAGATCTTTGGAATTTTTCAATTTTTCAGAATTTTTAAATTTTGGATTTTTCGGTTTTTAAGTATTTTTTTTTAATTTCTGAATTTTTAATTTTTCCACTTTGTACAATTGTTTCAATATTACAGTTTTTGATTCTTCAATTTTTTTAATTTTTTAACTTTTGAATTGTGTATGTCCCAATTTTTTTATTTTGGTGGTGGGGATGACTAGACAATTTTTTTACAACCTACATAGTATTCCTAATATGCATATGTACACACTTTGACAACAATCGGTCCAGTAGTTTTGGAGATTATCTGTCTAATAAAAATTTTCAGTTTTTCTTTTTGCAACATTCGTAGTTTTCAATTTAAAATTTTGCGATTTTGCAATATTTCAATTTTTCAAATTTTTCTTTCTTCACTTCCGTTTGCGATTTTTCGAGCTTGAATTCAAAATTTTGCAATTCTTCAATATTTCGAATTTTCGATTTTTTTCTTTCTTCTCTTTTCGATTTACAATTTTACGAGTTGTGAACTCCGAATTTTTCACTTTTTTCGATTTTGCCAATTTTTTGAGTCGCCTTCCAGATACTATTTGAAATTTTCGAATTTTCAATTAATACGCTACTTTGGAATGTCCCGATTTTTCAGGCTTGAAAATTTTTGAATTGACATCAACCAATTTTTCGGTTTTTTGTTTTTCAATTAATCAATTTTAAATTTTTAAGTTTTGCAATTATGTAATAAATTAGTTAATTGTTCAATTTTTTGAAAATTGAGAAATTGAAAAATAAAAAACCAAAAAATCGGTTGATGAGAATTCAAAAATTTTCAAGTCTGAAATATTGAAAAAAATAGTAACATTGCAGAAACGAAAAGTCGGTAATTTCGAATAGTATAATATAAAATAGAAAATTCGAGAAATTACAAACCGAAAAATCTAAGAAACAAAGGATCGAAAAATTGAAAAATTCAGGGTAAAAAAACTCGTAAAATTGCATATCGAAAAGTGAATAACGAAAAAAAATAAAAATTCAACATATTGAAAGATGGCAAAATTTTGAATTGAAGCTCGAAAAATTGAAAAATCTAAAAATGAGGGAATCGAAAATTTAAGGAAATGTGGAATCGAAAAATGGAAAAATTCAAAGTTGAAAACTCGCAAAATTCCAATTATGGAAGTGAAGAAAGAAAAATTTGATAAAAGGAAGTCTGAACATTTTTATTAGACAGGGACTCTCCAAAACTACTGGACCGATTGTTGTCAAATTTTGTATATTTATATTAGGAATACCATGTAGGTGGTAAAAAATTTGTCTAATCATCCCCACCAATAAAATTAAAAAATTGGGAAATACAAAATACAAAAGTTGCAAAATTCGAAAAATTGAAGAAAAAAAGCTGTAAAAAATCTAGGCATTCAAAAATAGAATTTTAAAAAATCGCATAATTGAAAAGTCATAAAATTGAATTATTGAAAACAAAAAATTTCAAAATCTAATCAGAACCTGCAAAAATGGTAAAAGTGGAGAAACGAAAAATTGAAAAGTCGAAAATTTCAAATAGTATCTGAAAGTTGAAAACTTAAAAAATCGCAAAATCGAAAAAAGTGAAAAACTCAAAAGTTCTCAACTTGAAAAATATAAAACAGAAAATTCGAGAAATTAAAAATAAAGGATCTAAAAATTGAAAAAAAACAACAAATTTTATTTCATTATTTCTTGTTTCATCATCATCTTGATCATTTTAACGACAGTTGAAAATTTCATATCACTGGTAACTAGTGTAGATGATTATTTGTCTAATAAATTCCTGTAACACATAGACTGAAACGGAAAACATACATTTTCATATTCTACAAACTGTGGAAGTTCACAAAAAGTCATTCACTGTCTCTCGATAAAAATATACACAATCTAAGAGTTTTCTCGCTCAGAAACGTCAAAATTAAGTATTTTTGAATTGTTTGTAACTTCGTAACGGTATTTTTTTTTCATCATTTTATTTTAAACAAACTGAACGCAGCCCTTGAAGAAAAATTTAAAAAAAGAAAAGTTGTAAAATCAAAAAAAGTTGAAAAAGTGAAAAAATGACAATCGAAAAATTGAAGAAACAGAGAATTGAAAAATCAAACTGAAAAAATTGCGAAAACAAAATCTGAAATTAAAAAACTGAAAAATAGAAAATTTGAAAAACTAAAAATCAAAAAATTGGATGACTGAAAATTCGAACATTTTCATCACCGTAAAATTAAAAAATTGGAAAATACAAAATTCCAAAGTTGAAAAATTAAAAAAATTGAATAAAAAAAAAATAAAAATTCAGAAATAAAAAAAAAATTTAAAAACGCAAACTCGAAAATTTGAAAATTGGAATTTGAACCAATTTATTAATTCCAAAATCCAAAAAATTAAACTTGAGAAACTGAAAAACAAAAAACCGAAAAATCGGTTGATGTGAATTCAAAAATTTTCAAGTCTGAAATATTGAAAAAGATGGTAAAATTGGAGAAGCGAAAAATCGAAAATTCCGAATAGTATAAAATAAAATCGAAAATTTCCACTAGTATAATATAAAATAGAAAATTCAAGAAATTACAAACCGAAAAATCTAAGAAACAAAAAATTGAAAAATCGAAAAATTGAAAAATTCAAATTTAAAAACTTCTAAAATTGTAAATCGGAAAGTGAAGAATTGCAAAATTTTGAATTGAAGCTCGGAAAAATTGGGTATTCTCCAAAGCTACTGGACCGATTGTTGTCAAATTTTGTATTATATGTATATTAGGAATACCATGTAAGTGGTAAAAAATTTGTCTAGTCATCCTCACCAATAAAATTTACAAATTGGGACATACAAAATTCAAAAGTTAAAAAATTAAAAAAATAAAAGAAACAAAAACTGTAAAATTGAAACATTTGTACAATGGAAACATAGAAAAAATAAAAATCCAGAAATTAAAAACAAAGTTTTTAATTTACAAACTGAAAAATCGAATTCAATTTTAAAATTCTTTTTTTGCATTGTACAAATGTGTCAATTTTACAGTTTTTGTTTCTTCAGTTGTTACAATTTTTCTACTTTTGAACTTTGTATCTCCCATTTTTTAAAATTTTTCATTGCTGGAAATGTTCGAATTTTCAGTCATCCGATTTTCTGATTTTTAGTTTTTCAATTTTTCGATTTTTCAGTTTTTTAAATTTCCCATTTTTCAAATTTTCTATTTTTCAGTGTTTGAAATTTTTAGATTAGTTTTTCAGTTTGATTTTCCAATTCTCCGTTTCTTCAATTTTTGATTTGTGATTTTTTTCACTTTTCCAATTTTTTTGATTTTACTAGTTTCCTTTTTTAAATTTTTGATTTTTGAATTTCCTGTTTTTGATTTTGGAATAAATTATATTATTCTTCATATGTATTATTTTACCATCTTCAAGGGCTGCACTCAGCAAAAAATTACTGTTACAAAGTTACAAACAATTTTGATAAAAATCAAAAATACTCAATTTTGACGTTTCTGAAGCGAAAAAACTCTTAGATTTTGTGTGTTTTTATCGAGGGACAGTGATGACTTTTAGTGAACTTCTAATTTTGTTTCTTTGACGTTCCACAGTTTGTAGAATATGAAAATGTAATTTTTGCGTTTCAGTCTATGTGTTACAGGAATTTATTAGACAAATAATCATGTACACTAGTTACCAGTGATATGGAATTTTTCACTGTCGTTAAAATGATTAGGGTGATGATGAAATAAGAAATAATGAAATAAAATTTGTTTTGTTTTCTTATGATTTAATTATAATTAAATATAGCATATATCATAGTCTGCTCTCTTTCAGGAATATTTCATATTCTTTAAGTGACTCATATTACTGTTTGCGAAACGAATATAATGATGAAAATATTAAAAATATTTATTTTCAATTGTAAAAGGAAACCTGCTGTTTCCTAGTAGTAGAAAGCCACTTTATATGTGTATTTTTCAGTCCTTTATGTACTAAGTTACTCATATAAATATTTGAAAAATATGGTCGCCGCCACGCCATCTCCCGGTGACTCTCCGTTCCAAAAATCAGGTACCTCTTGGTTATTTTGCTTTTTTCCGGTTTTGTAACACTCGTCTCCTGTTTCAGGAGGATCATAACTCACCACGCACTACTAACAATTCTGCAATAAACCAAATTCCATGTTTGTCAATGTTACCACAATTTCATTTATTTCCCACCTTTCTGCGCTCTTCGCTGGCGCACCTGTTAAAAAAATTTTTTTTGCGCTAGCTATAAAAGGCTGCTTCCCGCTCAAAAACGTCCCTTTTGTGTTTGTGAGTGTTCAAGAATGGACGGAGCGAAGAAAGTAACCGACGAAAAAATCAGGACGAAGGATAATATCGTGGCCTACGAGACCATTCTGAAGGAGCGCGTTTTCGAGGAGTTCGGCGAAATTGATACCTTTACACAACAATTTGAAGCGTTAACGACGAACTATGAGAGGGTCACTTATATGTATGATTACATGGTGAGGTACGATCTGCTGAAGGGCCGATATTGGAAGGATTTGAAGAACGACGAGGTGGCTCGACGCCACAAGAAAAAGGGGGATAACAACTTCGCGAGAGGAGATTTTCCGTCGGCTCTGAAGCATTACACCAGGTGCATTATGAAAGCGGAGAGTGGCGTGCTTCGCGGCTTGGCCTACGCTAATAGATCTGCGGCTTTGTTCAAGCTTTCCTTGTACAGGGAGTGTTTAGAGGTGGGTAAAAAAAGGTTGTCATTATCAGTTATCAGCTTCTAGAGCTGGCTAAAAAATGCGGAATTGAAAATTTTATAAATATTTGTAGTGTCTCCGCAAATTTTAGACGCTCTAAATATGTTGTTTTATCGCCATTTAACTTTAACATCGTGGAAGTAAACTTTTTTCTTCTTTTTTTTTTTAATTTCTGACGATAATTTTTTCTGTCTTCATGACAAATTTTATTGGTCCTAATTTTATTTCAAAGTGAATGTCGGTTCAAAGAGACCCAAAACCACCAATAGGTATATCTAACTCATTTTTTATCACCAACTATTTTTTTAATTTTTTTGTGTTTATCTGATATCTTTAAGGTACTCTTTTATCAATGTATGTGACTGCACTTCGATGAATTAAATCACATTTAAAAAGTACCTACAAAATTTTTAGAAATATCGATACATCTAAAAGTGATTTTAAAATTATTTGTAAAGTTTTATATACAACTTGGTTGGCTTAATAATTTTTTAAAATGACGTCAACAAACTTTCTGGGCAGGTTTTATCGTTAATATTTTGCGTTCCCTAAGAATTTTATTGTGTAAATTTTGGTGGTCCAAACTTGGTAATTTTTAGGATGAATCGTATGCGAATTTTATGAAAAGACGCCATCATTTTTTGAAAGGCATGTAATAGACAAATTTTGCGTTGTATCCCTTTCATGATAATCTCACAACACATTTAAAGTTTCAAATTGATGCTTTGTAGTTTCTGAAATGATTTATCTGTCAATATCGTCATTACTTGACAAACAAAATGGCGAAAACCGTTTTTTGTATTGTGTTAAGAAAAATGTCCAAGTCGCTTATCTCAACCAAAAAACTGAAAAAAATTATCTAGTTTTGCTGAAAACGTTGATAAATTCTAAGCAACTGTGTCATGTTTTAACGTGTCTTAAGTATGAAGATTAAAGTTGCACGGTTCTTTGAGGACTGGATATATTTAAATGAAACACCCTATATATTTTTACATATGTACGGTTAGGGACACGGAATTTCAAACGACAACCAACTTTCCGCCATTTAAAAACATTGTAGTCTTATACCTTATTGTCATTATGATTGACAGGTCGTTTGAAATTCCGTGTCCCAAACTGTACTTTGATTGATCCCTTTCTAGGCTTTAGAACCACCGTTTATTTCTGAAATTCCGACGCGACGTTGCCATGTTACAATTTTCTTGAAATTTTTTAGCAAAAAAAAATGAAAAAATATGGCAGTAGGGTTATTTTTAACATTTGTCTTACAATATTTTTTGAAATGATAAATAAAAGGTACGCACTTTATTGTGGTGGAAATAAAATTAAACTTCGGATGTAGAGTATTTTTATAAAAAAAAATACAATTTTCAAATATCGATAGTTCACTTTTTCCAAATAGAACGAGCCATGTGCTCTTTCACCCTTTGTGGTTCAGTTCTGACTCAATAAATATACAGGCTCTGCTAAAATTTCGGCAAAAACTCAGGAGGTTATTTCTTGGAATATTTTAAGATCTTTTTGTATTTTATTACTGCATCTTATTCTACTATCTAAAAAAATGTCAGTACACCGAATACAAAATTACCGCTATATACATTTTTTAGGACATCAAGCGAGCTGTGGGAAATAATTACCCTGGAAGTCTGCGGCCTAGTTTACTATATCGCCGAGAGCGGGCAACGCAGATGCTGGGAAGAACCAGAACACCGAAGTACCACGAACGCACCCCAACCCTCCCTAGAGGAGCAAGGAATCGCAATACACCGCATGCGCATTGTATCAAGCAGATACATGTTGAGCTCGACGAGAACTCAAGACGTAGAGTATTGGTTAACAACATAACACCGGCAGGCAAATTAATTTCCGTAGAAACTTCGATGGTGAACGTGGTGTCGGGGAAATCCGATTTGTACCATTGCCACCAGTGCTTAAACATATGCTACAACCCCACCCCTTGTCTGACTTGCACCCAGGTATGTCTATTTTCTCGAAAGTAATATCTGCAATTTAAATTTGGCGCGCTTTGACGTCACGCCTATTCTGCACCTACTAACACAAATTTTCTTTAACAGGTAGTTTACTGCGGCCAAAACTGTGCTTTAGACGCATGGTACGACTACCACCAGTACGAATGCGCCATTTTGAGCCCCCTGAAGCGGTGGGTGGGTTACTGCAAATCGTTGCTTGTGGGCGTCAAAATGATATTCTTAGCGAAGCTAGAACAGTTTCGCAATGATTTTGATAGATATTTAAATCCGATTGAAAACATTGTGAAGAAAGATGTCCCTAAGGATAACATGTTTTTGGCGCTGGCTGCAAGTGTAATTTATTACTTCATAAGGGATTTTACAAAATTCTTTCCGGAAGAAAGCAAAAGAGATCCAAACTTCGATAATCAGTTTAAGGACGATCTGTTCAAATATCTGCATATGGCGTATGTTTTTTCTGCCGAAATCACCGAAGCTAAACAAGTTTTTGGGGTTGCTCCGCTAAGACCTTTCCAAGATGTTTACATTGAGAAAGAGTCCTTTGGCCTTGGTATCTATCCTTTCTTTATGCACTTTAGACACGCTTGTTGTCCAAATGTCGTGATTCATCACTATGGCTCGACGATGGTTTTAAGAACGACGAGAAAGTGTTTGAAGGGGGAAGAGCTTTTTGTCAGTTATGGGTAAGTCTCTGTTTTTTAATTTTTATTTTTTCATTGAAATCCGAAATCGAGTAATTGAGTCCTTGTTCAAATAAATTACGGAGTTCTGTTCTCACTTGTTGATGAACATTTAACTTTAAACACTATCATGTCCTCATCGTAAATATAAAAATCAAATCATAAGAAATGTGCCTCTCTTGAAGCTGAAGTTGTCTAACATTTATGAAAACTCGGCTCCGATCGGTTCGTTGGATTAATTCTGGGTTTGTGCCTGATATGTTTCGGTAATGAGTTAGGCCGATGTAAATTTACCTTCCTCTAGACTAATGATATTATTGTTATTTTTTTATTATGTGGCGAAACTTAAAGTACTGTGACTATTAATGTCTGAAGCAAATTTTTATGTTGGCAATTCTGAATTATTGGCAGCAATGTTCGTAGTTGTCAGTTTTGACATGACAGTACCAAAAAAATGTGATGACAAGCGGGCAGCGTCATAAATGTTAATTTGACAATCAGGTATGCCATCATAATAATTTAAATGCGTTGCCCACTCGACAAAAAAATTTAACCTTAATTGTCATTCAGTCTTCATAGGGGGGACTAAATATACCCCCAAGTACCGCGTTGCCAAATTGTGCTCTGTATGTATGCTGTACATTACCGTCAACTGTAGATATAGTATCGGGAACTGATGTGTTAACACTGCTGCCAATAATTCCGAATTACCAACACAAAAATTTGCTTCAATCATTAATAATCTCGGTGGATAATTAACGGATGTTCAGTTGAAAAACTCATCAAGTTGGTTTTGGTTGAAACGTAAATACAGGGTCTCAGCTGAAAGTAGCTAATAGCTTGAGAACGGTTTTCTTAAAAAAACTCAAAATTTTTTAAATTTGCTGTTGCGCAATCTTTGGCTTTAAATTTGAACTATTTGGACGACAACCAAGACTTCAACAATAATAATGTGTGTTTCGTTTTTAGGACGTTCTTTTTTTTAATGACACACCCTATATATTTTTACATATTTACATTCGTTTGACCCCCTAGGCTTTATTTCTGAAATTCTGACGTCACGTTGCCATGTAGTAAACACATTTTTTTACAAAATAGTAGGGTTATTTTTAACATTTGTGTTATAATGTTTTTTGGAGAAATAAATAAAAGGTACGCGCCATGTTGTGACGTAAATAAAATAAAATTTTCGTATACAGAGCATTTATTAAAAAAAATAATCTTTACAATTTTCAAATATCAATATTTCAGATTTTTCAAATAGAGCGCCCTGTATGTTTTACTGCATTTTATTCTATGTTTTATTTTATTTCTTCGTTGTTAAGTATTTTCTATTTGAAAGTTGATGGTTATTGCGATTTTTTACTTTTTTAAGAGATAAGAGATGAATGAGAACAAAAATACAGGAAGATACAATAATAAAATACAGGGTGTTTTATTTGAAATTTCTAATGTTTTATTTGTTTCTTTTATAAACAACCTGTATATTAAAATTTGATTTAATTGGTATCACAACAAAACGCGTACCATGAAAATATAAATTTTAGACGAGCCATGTGCACTTTAACCCGTGTTGTAGTTCAGATTTGACTTAGTTTTCTTATTATAGTTGCTGAGATGGTCGATAATAAAAATACAGGGTGTTTACTAAAATTTTCAAAAAATTTAACGCGTTATTTCTTACACTATTTTAAGATCTTTTTCTCCTTTAATGATTTTCGGATAAAAGCTTTGCAAAAACAACAATACTTTAATGGTAAAATAAACGAAGGAATAACCCCCTTGATTTTTTACCGCATGTTTAGTAAACACCCTGTATATTTCCACTCTGAGTCTTAAAAAAAAGTTAAATATTTTCATATTTTAACTGAAATAAAATACAGGGTGTTCTATGATTTACTTGATACCACTACAAATTGCATACCTCTGTTAACTGATATGTTAACATTCCTGTTAATAATACAGAATTACCAACACAAAAATTTGTTTCAATTATTAATAGTCACCTGGTAGATATAATTAACGATTGTTCAATTGAAAAAGTCGTCAAGTTGAGTTCATTTTTTTAAACGTGTTATTTTTTCGTTTTGGTGTTTTTTTTTTTGTTACAAATATTTAGCAGTTTTAATTGCATGAACAATTAAAATATACTGATTTCGGTAAACTAGGAAGTATTTATTATTTAGTAAAGTCAAGGTTTTCTTAAAAAACTCATTTTTTTTTTAATTTGCTGTTGCCCCATCTTTGGTTTTAAATTTGAACTATTTTGACGACAATCAAGACTTCAACAACATCTATCGCGAGTGGTACCAATCAAGTAAAAAACATGGTAATATTTGTCCGCACTCAAATTTATGTTGGCAACAATGAATCTTTTAAATTGTGCACCACTTTCGTGATTCACTGCTGCCAAACTAAATTTAAGTGTGGATAAATATTATCATGTCTAGTCACACAGATGTGAAAGATACAGGGCGTAGTGAAATTTAAAAAATCATATGGCTGCGCGCGCATGAAAATATTTTTTTTTAATAAATTCTAGTTTGCTTTTTGCTAATTCATATACTTATCCTCTTTCAGGCCCCACTATTACTACCACGACCAACGTGACCGTAGGAATTTTATCTGGCGCATGTTTTACTACGAGTGTACATGTTTGGTCTGTGATCGTAATGTCCCTATCATGGCCATATTGGAGGAATGTGTTACTGAAGAACGCTACAAAGCCATCACAGCTAAAGCCACCAAATGCTTTGTGGATAAAATCGTAAACACAAAAGACGCTCTTGTGGACCTGGTGGACGCCATCGACACAGAATACAACGTGGAGAAATACTTATACACCCTAGCATTATGGTACTACTATGACCTGTTGGGAAATAGAAGACGCGTTCCTTAATTTTAAACTGTACGTAACGTTTGTACTTTTATAAATAAAGGAATCAAGGAGATTAAGTTAGTATGACTTAAATGCACTACTCAGACTAAAATTCTTATCACATAGGTGGTAATTAATAAATTAGTTATTTCTTCAATTTTCAAATTTTCGATTTTTCAATTTTTGGATTTTTCAATTTTTCGAGCTTCAATTCAAAATTTTGCAATTCTTCAATATTTCGAATTTTGGATTTTTTCTTTCTTCACTTTTTGATTTGCAATTTTACGAGTTTTTAACTCTGAATTTTGCAATTTCTCGATTCTTGGTTTGTAATTTCTCGAATTTTCTAACTATTTTATATTTTTCAAGTTGAATTTTTCACTTTTTTCGATTTTTTGAGTTTTCAACTTTCGGATACTATACCTTTTCGACTGTTCAATTTTTCGTTTCTCCAGTTTTACCATTTTTGCAGGTTTTGATTAGATTTTGAAATTTTTAATTTTCAAAATTTCGATTTGATGACTCTTCAATTTTGCGATTTTTTAATACCTACTGTAGCGGAGATTCCAAAGCGCTCCCCTAGTACCCTCTCGAGGGCGCTGTCCTCGGCAGCGCCAGTACCAACCCCATCACACTTACCCCCACTGGAACATGCACCCCACGCATCTCAACCCTACCTATAAAAGGGCCAACGCGACCACTTGCCAGGCACCGTTTTCGGTTCGCGTGCGCCGCTTCGACGTCGTCATCTTCAGGGCTGCACTGATCCAGGTCCCCTGCACCGCATCGGCATTCAGGGCTGCACTGTCTAGGTCCCCTGTGCCGCATCGTCGACGTCTTCATCACCAGGGTTGCACTATCTATGTCCCCTGCGCCGCATCGCCGACGTCTTCATCAGGGTCGCACTGTCCAGGTCCCCTGTGTCACCGCCGGCGTCATCCACTTCGACGCTCCGAGTCCGAGGAGCCGCCATCATCCCCGCCGAGGTTGCCGCCACTTCGAGAACCCCTACATTATACTTTTGACTTGTATTATTTTTATATATCAATAAACCACTGAGCTACCACGCTACGTATTTTTTAATGTTCCGATTATTCAGACTCGAAAATTTTTGAATTGTCATCATCGATTTTTCGGTTTTTTGTTTTTCAATTTCTCAATTTTAAATTTTTGTATTTTGGAATTAATAAATTAGTTCATTCTTCAATTTGCTAATTTTCGATTCTTCAGTTTTTAAATAGGTTTATATTTTTTTAATTTCTGGATTTTTCATTTTTCAATGTTTCAATTTTACAGTTTTTGTTTCTTTAATTTATTCAATTTTTCTAGTTTTCAATTTTGTATTTCCTATTTTTTTAATTTTATTGGTGGGGATGACTAGACACATTTTTTACCAACTACCTTTTCCTGATATACATATGTACAAAATTTGACAACAATCGGTCCAGTAGTTTCGGAGATTACCTACCTAATAAACATTTTCAGATTTTGTTTTTGCAATATTTCCAGCTTTCAATTTAAAATTCGGCAATTCTTCCATGTTTCGAATTTTCGATTTTTTTTCTTCACTTTTCGATTTGCAATTTTACGAGTTTTTACTCTGAATTTTTCAATTTTTGTACTTTTGTTTGTAATTTCTCGAATTTCCTATTTCATATTTTTTAAGTTGAGAGCTTTTGAATTTTTCACTTTTTTCGATTTTTTGAGTTTTCAACTTTCAGATATTATTTGAATTTTCGACTTTTCAATTTTTCGTTCCCCCGGTTTTACAGTTTTGCAAGTTTTGATTAGATTTTGAAATTTTTTAGTTATTTTTTTAATGTTGCGATTTTTTGGGCTTGAAAATTTTTGAATTGACATCAACTGATTTTCCGGTTTTTTGCTTTTCAATTTCTCAATTTTAAATTGTTGTACATAATTTGCACTCAATAAATAAGTTAATTTTTCAATTTTCAAATTTTCGATTTTTCAGTTTTTATATTTATAATTCTTTTCTTGCAATGTACAAATGTTTCAATTTTACAGTTTCTGTTTCTTAAATTTTTTTAATTTTTCATGTTTTGAAGTTTGTATTTCCTAAATTTTTAATTTTATTGGTGGGGATGATTAGTCAAATTTTTTACCACCTACATGGTATTCCTAATATACATATAATACAAAATTTGCAACAATCGGTCCAATAGTTCTGGAAATTACCTGTCTAATAAAAATTTTCAATATTTTGAATTTTCGATTTTTTTTTCTTTCTTCTCTTTTCGATTTACAGTTTTACGAGTTTTTAACTCCGAATTTTTTACTTTTTTCGAATTTGCCGTTTTTTGAATTTCAGCCTTTCAGATACTATTTGAAATTTTAGAATTTTCAATTTCTCGTTTTTCCAGTTTTACCATTTTTGCAAATTTTGACCATATTTTGAGATTTTTTAGTTTTCAATATTATGATTTTATGACCCTTTTCAATATTGCGATTTTTTAATATGCTATTTTGGAATGTACCGATTTTTCAGGCCTGACAGTTTTTGGATTGACATCAACCAATTTTTCGGTATTTTGTTTTTAGTAAGTAAGTAAGTAAGTAAGTTTTATTTGTCTACAATGATCAAATACATTAGAACACGAGACACGTCAAAGATGAAATTTACATTTTAAATGACATAACAAAATAACATAACAAAATAAACAAACTACAATTACACAAGAAATTCAGACAGATTATACGGTTCAGTTTCACAAATATATTTGAACACCTCTCCTTTAAATATTTTCACCGAGGCAATTTCTTTAATTGCTGACGGTAAGTGATTATAACATTTAATTTTCATTTAATCAATTTTAAATTTTTATATTCTGCAATTAATAAATTAGTTAATTGTTCAAATTTCAAATTTTCGATTTTTCAGTTTTTAAATTAAAAACTTTGTTTTTAATTTCTGGATTTTTAATTTTTCTATGTTTCCATTGTACAAATGTTTCAATTTTACAGTTTTTGTTTTTTCAATTTTTTTGATTTTTTTAACTTTTGAATTTTGTATTTCCCAATTTGTTAATTTTGTTGACTAGACAAATTTTTTACCACGTACATGGTATTCCTAATAATATGTTCAAAATTTGACAACAATCGGTCTAGTAGTTTTGGAGATTACTTGTCTAATAAAAATTTTCAGATTTTGTTTTTGCAATATTTCTAGATTTCAATTTAAAATTTTGCAATTCTTCAATATTTCGATTTTTCAAATTTTTCTTTCTTCACTTCTGTTTGCAATTTTTCAACTTTGAATTTTTTCATTTTTTGATTCCACACTTTCTTAAATTTTCGATTTCCCAATTTTTAGATTTTCAATTTTCCGAGCTTCAATTCAAAATTTTGCAATTCTTCACTTTTCGATTTACAATTTTAGGAGTTTTTAACTCTGAATTTTCAATTTCTCGATTTTTCAATTGTTGTTTTTTAAATTTTCCGGTTTGTAATTTCTTGAATTTTTTATTTTATATTATACTATTCGAAATTTTCGATTTTATATTATACTATTCGAAATTTTCGATTTTTCGCGTCTCCAATTTTACCATTTTTTTCAATACTTCAGACAGAAAATTGAATTCACATCAACCGGTTTTTTGTTTTTCAATTTGTCAATTTTAGTTTTTTGGATTTTGGAATTAATAAATTAGTTCATATTTTAGTTTTCAAATTTTCGATTTTTCGTTTTTAAATTATTTTTTTAATTTCTGAATTTTTAGTTTTTTTATTTCTTCAATTTTTTAATTTTTCAACTTTTGAATTTTGTATTTCCCAATTTTTAATTTTACAGTGATGAAAATGTTCGAATTTTCAGTCATCCAATGTTTTGATTTTTAGTTTTTCAATTTCAAATTTTTAGATTTTGTTTTCGCAATTTTTTCAGTTTGATTTTTCAGTTCTCTGTTTCTTCAATTTTTCGATTTGTCACTTTTCCAATTTTTTTGATTTTACAACCTTTCTTTTTTAAAATTGTTCCTCTTTTGATTTTGGAATAAAAAATTATACATTTTTTTCAATTTTTATATCCTTTATTTTTAATTTCTCGAATTTTCTATTTTATATTTTTCAAGTTGAGAACTTTTGAGTTTTTCACTTTTTTCGATTTTGCGATTTTTTAAGTTTTCAACTTTCAGATACTATTTGAAATTTTCGACTTTTCAATTTTTCGATTCTCCAGTTTTACCATTTTTGCAGGTGTTGATTAGATTTTGAAAATTTTTTCAATAATTTGATTTTATGGCTTTTCAATTATGCGATTTTTTAAAATTTTATTTTTAAATGCCTAGATTTAATATGTTGATTTTTACTTCCCGAGCGTAAGCAAAGGAAGTATTGTAATCGAGTCCGTCGGCCGACTCTCTACTTTTACGTTTTCTCGATCTTTCATGACCCCTAGAAGACGAAGAAATAGGTCTCCCATTTCCGTCTGTCTGTCCGTCTGTCCGTCCGTCTGTCCGTCTGTCCGTCTGTCCGTCTGTCCGTCTGTCCGTCCGTCTGTCCGTCTGTTGTCCCGGATTTTTATTAGACAGATAATCTCCGAAAGTACTCGACCGATTGTTGTGAAATTTTGTACTTATATTAAGAATATCATGTAGATGGTAAAACGCTAACCAAAATTTGTCTAATCATCCCCACCACTAATGCGATGACGTCACTTCAAAATTGTACATAGTAAATGGGTTTTCAATTGTATAAAATAACATAGTCCCACACATGTAGTTTACAACTCTGAATCGACTTTTCACCCGAAACGTCCAGATTTTTGGAAAAAAAATCAAAATTATAAAACAATATTTTGAAATTTAATTTTTAATCTGCTAACCAGAATGCTTTGAAATGTTGCAGATGTTTTAAGGCTATAAAGAGCATCATAAATCTTTAGTCAAAAAATATTTGCTTATCCCCTCCAAAAACTTGATGACGTCAGCTCAAAAGTTTGTGGAATAAATCATATCTAAAATGTACAAAATATGATGAGTCTGTACTTGTGATCTATCACTCCATTCATATT